TGTATAAATAAAATATACAATTGTGTAGTTGATATAATCTGAAAAAGTGATGAATGATTTAAAATATGTATCGTTCAAACTGCGTACAGCTCGAAAATCGCATTTATAATTTACAAAACTATTAATTGATATGACCGATCTTAATTTCATTTTAGCAATTCTTCCCCAAATACTAGCAATTATTTCTGTAATTTAAAATTATCCCTTCAGTTGGTACAATTTTGAATATTCAACGATATTCAACAATAAATTTCTAACTCAACAATTATTACAATACTGGCACTGAAACATAAAAACGCAACATCTAAATCACATTTGCATTAAACATAGACATTTTATTTGTTAAAATATCGTGCGGATGCAGATGCAAGAAATGGCATTAAAACGATGGACCACCGAGGAATACAAAAGTGTCGGCGTTAAATCTTATTCAGTAGTTTTTGGAAGAGAAGAAGAAAAGAGAGAGAGAAAGAGAAAGAATTATCGTGAGAAAAAAGCACGAATAAAAAGATAGGTGTTACTTCGATAAAGTTCGCGCTCGGTAATAACGAAGTATATGTCGCGCGAACTTCTCGAACAGCTCTGTGACAGTTTCAATTTAAAGCGACCGTATTTCCGATAGTGATAAATCGACCGCACCCAGAGACGAGGTGAAACCGTTATCGGTTCGTAAAATTAAGGACGAGAGAATACGAAAGTCGCGTGATTAGCCGACCCCGGATTAATCGTCGAAACAGAGAAATCGAACGCAACGCACACGCGAATAAATGTCGGATTTATGTGCGTAATTGCGGCACCTCTCGACGATGTTAGCACCTCTCCGATACTCCGATACTCTTGTACATACACGTGCGAGCATTATTATCTGCCGTTCGCATATGCATATGCGTATATATACGCGTATATATGTATTCTCACGTTACTCTCGTACACATGTATATAATGAGAGAACGCAAATCAAATAGTACGCATATATTGCGTGCGATCATATATGCGGATAAATATATTGTACTTGGCACTTTAAAGAGGAAATCAGACATAGCATAGAGAGATCCGTAATCTAGAAAGTTATATCCACTTGCACGATTTTATAATATTATATAAGATTGTGAAGAGATATATTCTAGCTCTATCATTTGCAATTTGCTCGTTTCAATATTCGACAAATAGTTCTCGATAATGCTTGATGATATCTACGTTTCGAAATATCCATTCGTGTGTTTGCGCGAAAATGACTTATATAAGTGATAGAATAACATTTTTTACGAGAATTTTATGCGTTATTGAGAATTATTTATTTTTATTTCGCATTATTTTCTAGATAACTGCATAAATAATATCGGGAAAATATACTTAGAATACTTGAATAGTATTGATGCAATATTTTTAGTTATCTTATTAAAAAAATGTATCTTTATTATATATTTTAAGGCAAACTGTTACGCAAACGCATTGTGTCATATATTAGCATAATCTCGCATAAGGTACCCGCATCTCTCTCTCCTTCATAACACGCGTTATAGCATGTATCGATCCGATATCGACATTAGCAAATGCACCAATGCACTTTAATAGTTAACATCTCGCATTATGATTTACGTCCATAACATCATCCGCATTATAAGCTATGAATCTTCAAGTTCCCAGTTATATATATTTTCTCTCTCTCTCTCTCTCTCTCTCTCTCTCTCTCTCTCTCTCTCTCTCTCTTCGTTCTTTTACCATATAGTCCTTTTTTCCAAGGCAATAATAAATTTCGAAACTTTCGAGAGGATTTTGATACAGAAGATTTCAAGTATCGATTTAATATGCCTGTTTTAAATGGATTCGCGATCGATCTTTATACACATATGTATATGCACATACGTACTCATATATATGTATGTGCAATTATCCGTAAAGCGAACATGTTACACTAAATCCTTCTCTCACAAGATTATCTATGTTCTTCGGAGACTTCTGGATTGCTGAATAATTTCAATTACCGCGCAAGCCTCGAACATATATGCTAATGAGACAGACGGCAACCGAGAATTTCATTTGATTAAAGAGAATTTCATTTGAATAAGGCAATTATTAAGAGATTCTAGTAGCAAAGAAATTTTTAAAATAAAGTGCATTTTATTGTGTCGCTCTTCAAATCAGATAATTTCAAAGAAATTGAAAAGATATATTGCAATTCGCGTAAAAAAACGTAGAATTTTTAAAATTTCTTATCCTCCTATGTATGTATGTATAATGATGTATTAAGTGTTTATTTTATATTTACACTTGTATTGATATCAAAGGATGAAAATAATATTTTATTGTCGGAAATATTTACAACATTAAATTGAAAGCTCTGCTTATTGTTAGCAAAAATTTAAATCCTACTTAATGAAGATTTGATTACTCTTTCTTAGTGGAAATTAAAAATTTCTTATCCTATTTAACAGAAATCCAAACTTTGTTTAGCGAAGATTCAAAAGAATGTCTGAACTTCATTAAATACCCCAATTTTTCTTGATATTGGAATAATTATAATTTCAAAGATTGAAACATATTTCTTTAGATAAAATATTAAAATTTATTTTAATACTTTAATAATTTTCAGTAGAAAGTGTTCAATGAAATAAATTCTACACATAATATAAAGATCTGCAATAAAAAATTAGATTATTTTATTCTTTTTGAATCAAAAGTATCAAATTTATTAATCAATATCTAACGATATTTTGTTGAAATATTTATAATAATTAAGTAAAAGAATTTTAAAAAGCATATGATTTTTGTATGTTTAATTATTTTAACTGTATACATATACAATATTTTTCTTCCTTTAGTATTACAAATAGCACTTCAAATAGCATTCTTTCCACGTTCTTGGGCGTGATCATTGGCTCGATCTATAACCAACAAAGTTACTATTCTTCACAAGACGAGAGCTGAATTGTGAATTACAAAGTATTATGCAAGCTGGTGAAAGCTCTGTCTAAGAGATCTCTAGGTAACATTTTAATAAAAAAAATTAAAAATATCTTTTATATATACTTATATTATTATATATTACTATAATTATATTTATATTATTATATTAATTTTAATATATATAATCATTTATTATAAAATGCATAATGTTAATGTTTTTAGTAATATTTTTATATATTCTAAATATATATTGTGTTATATAACGTATATGTGTTGTAAACTATTTATTGGGAAAGATTTGGAATATTTGGAAATTATGGCAATATTTCTTGAATAATATTTTAGCAGCATTTTATATTTTACTAGCATAATATTTGTATAATGAATGTATTACATACATAATGAATGTATTTAATTCTATAAAAAATCGACCTATAAATATCGACCTATCTCTCTCTTATTGATCTATTTATAAAATTATGTTGATATTATATTATATTATAGCGATGTTTAAAATAGAAGATATTTTATGTTATACACATAATATACATATATGTCAAAGAATATATATATATACAAATGTAAAATAATTCAAATATGTTTAATGAGGTTCATTGCTCATTAACAATACTACTTTGTGACACGTTTTGTTATTTTCAATTAGAATCAGATAATATGCGGTAAAGTCTCGAAATACAACATTCCTCAATTGCTTTCTTAAGAAATCTACTAATATTACAAATATATAAATATAAGATTGATTTCAGAACTTTAATTTTTATAATTATGTGTAATCATCATTCTTGTATTTTATTTGTTTCGATCTTCCTCTTTCTATTTTTTTCTTATTATAAGTTTGAATATATTTCAATAGTATAATTGAATACATTTAGGAAATGTTTTAGAAATCCACACATGGGATATAAAGGTATAATATTAAGGTTTGAGAGGCTATTTTGAATGATGCGAAAAGTCATTTTCGCATGAAATAAACCGTTATTTTCTTTATTTCAACTTTTAGATAGATTGTTATGAGATTCGCTTTTTTGTATAATAAATCAATCAAATTAAATAAATTAAAATAAACAAAGTCATAAACAGAAAAATTTACATATATCTCTAAGAGAATTTTTCCATCCAAAAATTATTACCATAATCCATGTGCCGGAATTGCTTGCACGTAGAATTAAAATTCACAATGTCCTTTATGTTGATAATCTGATATTTTAAAATTACCGCAATTATCTCTTTAGGTAAATTCATTATTGTAATCATTTCGGAAAAAATATAGCGAAGCACAAAAAATTTAAAGTTTCAATTAGAATTAACGAATTTAACGTTCTATTATATTTTTGTTTATAAGTAAACGAAGTTTACTATACTAATTAAAGTCAACTGAGCGTTTCCTCTGTTTTCTTATATATTATAATTATATATATTTTCTTATATAATTACATTCGGCGAACTTGACAACATTAGTATAGTTAACTTCTATTAATATTCTTTTAGCATTTGACATAAAATATAATCATAATCTGCCTACTCATTTATTATTTTTTCTTATTTTTTATTTATTCATATCACAATTTATTCACATCACATTGTATAAATTATCTCATTTTTAAAGGATTGATGAATTGTTTCAAAACTTTTTCCTATTAAACATGGCTAATCAAATTATTTAAAGTTAAAAATATTTTAAAGACTTACAAAAAATCTACTTGTTTATCAAAAATATAATACAAAATTCTTTAGAATATTTTTTGAATCTTTTTCTTTATATTGATAAGATATATTTTAATACTTTGTCTAAATTTATAAATAGATATGGTATATGAATGTAATAGAGAAAATATATTAAAGAACGCCATGATTTAAACAAATTAAACAAAGGTATAATATAAGTTAAAAATATCGTATTAATGAATTCAACACATTAGAAGGAGGCATAAAAGTAAATCGAGAGAGATAGCAACATATTTCTTTCAATATCTATAACAAAAAGTTTATTTTGAGAACTAAGAAAAAGAGAGAAAGAGAAAGATATATATATGAAAAGAGAGAAAGAAAATTCTACAGGAGATAGCTAAAAAATTTATTCATATAATAGTAAGAAATATGAAATTAGATATATTATCCCAATCGTTCCCAAAAGTTTTGCTCGCGATTTTAATAGATATTACTTAAAACCGATAAGCATCGCTGGTAGAATACTATTCTTATCTAGCTTTTGTATCTTCGTTGTCCGTCCTGGTAGCATTAAAAGCGCGTTAGCGCCTTTACAGCTAAGTAGCTTACTGCTAATTTGATCCCCCGTACTATAGGCCAACGGGTATATTTCATTATCACTCCATTTCAAAATCACTCTTACGTACTCAGGGCGCGGATCCAAATTATATGTTGACATTAACTGGAAGATATGTATAACAATAGTGCAAGCATTTCCACGTTTTGAGATATAAAAATAATCTTACAAACCATAGCTTGTACTATGATGGGTTCGGAAAAATCACCGCGCATCTCGTTTAGAAGGGGTAAAAGAAATAAATGTGCGGTAACAATAGCAGATACTGGATTTCCTGGTAAACAGAGAAAATATTTCTTTCTGCTATGATACATACATGTTGCAAACGTCGTTGGTTTTCCTGGTTTCATATTTACTCGACCTAAGAGAAAAAGTTCTTCATGTATTCTTCCTGAGAAAACTTTAAATATTTAATATTGATAAGTAAAAAAAGTTAAGGTATATACCAAAATGTATAGTAGCTTTGAAATATCTCTCTAAAATAGGTTTCAACATATCTCTATCGCCCATAGACACAGAACCTGTTGTCACAAGTATATCTACTTTTTCTATAGCTTCCATAATTTTGTGCACCATAGTAGACTCACTACAAAATAATAATTATATTAGTGTAATGTATTAATTTATAATCATATTAATAAATTAATATCATTTAAACAAAATTATAATAAATTAAATATATTAATAACAACATGTGCAAAAGACATAATAAATTTCGATTTATTTACTCATCAATTGCAATTCCAAAATCCAAGGGATAGTAACCATTTTCTTTTAATAGTGTAATTAGAGTTATTCTATTACTATCATAGACATGTCCTGGTTTTAAAAATTCTCCAGCTTCTTGTAACTCATCTCCAGTAGACAATACACCTACAGATGGAAGTTTATTAACTGTAACTTGTTTGCAGCCACAAGCTGCCAGAAGTCCCATCTCTATTGAACTAATACTTGTGTGTGATTTTAAAACTAAGCTTCCTTTTTTTATATCACAACCAATGGGTCTGCAACAATACATAGGAGGAAATAAATAAATATATGGTTTAAAATTTACATAAAAAAAAATATGTGAATAATGAGTTTTATACCTGATATCTTGTCCTTCTACTGGTTGAGTCATTATTTCAATCTCTTCTTCTTCCATTTTATCAGAACTCTTTGATATTAACTTGGTATCTTCAACTTGTACAACCGCTGTTGCTCCTGCAATTAGAAATAAAAATAATAGTGAATTCCTTATGATGAATAAATCAATATAATGTATAATTTGCAGTATAATTATTAACAATAAAATCGCTTACCATCAGGAACGGGTGCTCCAGTATTCACACGTACACAAGTGCCAGGTTGAAAGGAAACCAATGTGGGCTGAAACAGTTGTTTTTTGTAGTTCTAACTTATTACATTGCATATTTATTATTGCAACTTACTGTAGTCCCTGCTTTTACACCACACAATACTTTTCTGCTACCTTTTCCATCGCTTGCTAGTACTGCATATCCATCTTTAATAGAAGCTCTAAATGGTGGTAAATCATAATTGGAATTTATATCTTCAGATAATATTCTGCCATAGGCATCATTTGCATTTATAATTTCAACTTCTCTTTCTTTTTCGATACTTCTACGAATCATTTCTGCTGCTTCTTTTACAGAAATCATAGGAAATGGGGATTCTCTAAGACGTGTTGCTACATTTTCGAAATTTATCTGGAATAAATTAATTATATATGCACAACCTCTTACAAACGTACACATACATTATTTTCTTTAGAAAAAAAAAATATATATATGTATATATATATATATATATATATATATATATATATATATAACAGTTATTATTTATAAAAGTGTCTTACTGGACTTGTGCAAGATTTGTTATGTAAACAAGATGTAATATTATGTTGCACAATGTTATGAGTATCTTTAATTTTTGTTTTATTATCTAAAATCAAATCTACTGCATGTGGTATCGCATGTGCAATTGCAGTTAAGCATTCTGTTGCAGCTTTTGTTGAGCCAGGCAAATTAATGATCAGTGTTTTATTTCGTATTCCACATACAGCTCTGAAAATATATTAAAAATATAAAGGTTACATAACTTTAAACATTATAGAATATAAAAAAACATTACCGAGAAAGCATAGCCATTGGTGTTACTTTTAGACTTGATATGAGCATTGCTAGAGATATTCCAGGTGCTTCTTTATGTATAATTTTTTTAGTAGCCTCAGGTGTAACATCTCTGTTAGAAAATCCAGTGCCACCAGTAGTGAGAATAACATCAGTTTTATTTCCATCGCTCCAATCAATTAAATGTTTCTGCATTGCGCAAATATAATAAATTAAAATATCAATGTACTATACAAGATAATATATGCTTACGTAGTTACCATTATTAAATCCTCTTCATCTTTCACAATTGCGGTGCAAGATACTTCTCCTTTAAGTATGTTTCCTATTGAGTTTTCATTTTTATTATTGATAAGTTTTTTCAAAGTAGGGCCACTTTCGTCTTCTTTCTCACCACTTGCACAAGTATCGCTTACTAAATAATTACATATATACATATATAATAAATATATTAACAACTTGCATCGACATTTACAAATAATAATTAGATCATTCTATAAAATGAGAAATAGTCATTTATTTCCATTAGATTACTAATAGTTAAGAATAATGAATATAAAAGTGCATCATATGTAACCTTAAATATATAATTTAAAATATTTTACAATCATCCATTAAAATTGATTTTATTAATGTATGTATTTTAATGTAAAGTGTACACACACATATATATATACATACATATGTGTGTGTGTGTGTGTGTGTGTGTATAATACATACCAGTTAAAATTGCATATTTTATTAGCACCATTTTTAACAATTTTAATAATTCTTTAATGAATTTTACTTTGAGCTTCAAGTAACTTTGATAACCAATCTCTCATCTAAAAAAGTCAGTGATAGCCATTGATGCAATGATATGTATACATATATATATGCACACAAGATAAAACGATTACAAATTTATGAAGATAAGGAAACGTGTATATGTATACTATATTATTATGAACACATACATACACACATATCTTATATACATATAACAGTATGTCATTTATGCTGTTTCATGGAGTGTGACCATCATATGATAAAGTGAAGTACGTGATACATCTCCAGTAATTCACTTTCGTGTGTAAAAAATCATACTATTAATTATTTTTTTCTTGCAAATGTAAAAACAGATCTTCCAGTCTCTCTACATTATACACACTGAAGTAAAATCTTTAATAAATTTATTAATAAGTAGGAAACACTTTTGTGTGACTTATGTTAAAATAACATAGAACTATTAATAAGTAGTAAACACTAATGTAAATGGTAGCGTACAAAATAATTACTATTTGTCTCCTACTGAGCAATGGGTCTTTATTGTGTTAAATAGTTATCTAACAATAATGTACCTATAATAAGATAGCAAAGTGCATTTGATTCTGAAATATGATTGTATCACATTTCCAATAAATGATTCTTGTTGATCTTGTTGATCCGTCTGTTTTTGCTCTGTTCAACATTAATTACTTTTATATAGCTTTTACTAGCAAACAACGTAAGAAATGCTTACATTATTTTTACAGTAGTACTTCTACTTCTTATATATTTGCAAATATGCATAAATTATGTATAAATATTTTTTATATCAGTTACTTTTATATATATTGTAAAGCAGATAAGATCAAACTAATTTATTTATGACGTACGTTTTAGAACAATTACATGCTTACATGATACTTATTTCATATATCTTTCCTTCAAAACATGAATTTTTAAGCAATTAACAATGACTCAAGGAAGGAATGCAGTTGTATAGGAAATATTCATAATGTTTCAACTTATTTGGATGGAAGATTAACTGTATTCTGTTGTCTCCTGAAGTCAGTAGTCGACTAGGCCTCTGGAATAATGCAAAATAGGAATAATTAACAGCATATAAATTTATTTTATGTACTCAAATGCAATTGCACCGATAATTATTTAAATAAACATTAATCGTCGTTTAAGAAATGTTAAACATTGATTGATGAAATAATTTTCTTTCTGTATTATGTGATTAGTATATGCAGCATTTGCATACTCTCGATGCAATTCAACTTTAATAAATAAATCAAGCGAGGAGACATTTTACCGACTGCTCCTCGGACTCAACGAACGAAGTGGTGAATCTCTGTATTTTCTACGCGATTCAGTTCGGCTCCGATCGCGATCATCGCGTCGATCTCTCTCTCTATCCCGCTCGCGTTCACGATCGCCGTCCATATCACGCCTCTCACGACGCACATGATGCCTTGGACTACGGTTCGGGCTCGGTGTACGAGATATAGAAGAGCGCGTGTCAGAACTATGGCCTTCATAACGATGCCTTCGTTCTCTCTGCCTGTGAGAAGTAAAAATCAATATTATTATCAATATTATTATTCAAATGGATGTATCTGCACGTCAACAAAAAATTATTTACTTTCTACGAAGTTTCAAAGACATTTCTCGTATCTCATCTTCTCGATCCTGTCTTTGTTGCTCCATCTTCTCGATTCTCAACTGTTCTGCCTTTTTGTCTGCCTTATCTGAAGAGATACATCTTTAATTTCCTTTTTATAATACAAGATATTTTTTTATTGCACATCAACTAACATTGCCTGTTTAATAAGGCCTGCATCTTCTTTTTAAGCCGCTCCTGAGGTGTGATTTTCAATGACTGAAAGATTTAAACTCTTAAAGGTTTATAATTAAATAGCGGATATTTGGCATAATTTAAAATTCTAGCCCACTATATATATTTAAATCAATATGTATGTACTGATAATATATAAATATGTTATGTTATTAATTACAAAACATAACTGAATATACATACAAAAAATTTATATCCTCTATTGAATGATTAATAAAACGCAGCTCTAAGCAAAATAATTAAAAAAAATAATGATAGCAATGTGATAACAGTATAATTGAATTTAAATCCGTTGGGTGATATGTATTTTGTGCATATCATGAAAATGTCAATTTCTTTGTGACTCTAACAAAATATGTTCTAAAATATATTAAAAATAAAATATCAAATAAAAATATAAAATATACAACGTTGACACGTCAATTATGTAATACAACAACGAAAACGAGAAGCGCTTTATAGGCTCCTCGTTTGGATGGTACTTATTTAGAGACAAGTATGTTTTGTCTTTATTCTCTGCGCGTTAAGTGACTAAGAAAGCGTTATGGTTCTTACTGACTTTGTGTCCGACACCAGAATTTGTACTTAACCCTGCTTTTGGCTTGTTCCTGAAAAAGATTTAAAATATTCATATACTGACCTAAATATATGACAATTCATATATATTCATTCAAATAATTTTAAATAATTTTAAATATATCAAATCGAGATCGCGTTTGTTGCTTACATGCTTGTGTTAATCGGTGTTTTCGGTGTTGTTGAATTGGATTTTTCTTCATTATCAGATAGCTCTAGTTCGAGGCTTGATGATTTTCCGCGTCGACCATAATACCTATATATAAAAAAAAAATAAGCTTTGTATAAAGTTTATATTAATGTTCGACAAAATCTGCATAACATTTTTACCTTGGCAGTGTTGGTATCTTATTATCGTCGCTGCGCGATCGTTTACAACTAGACTGACTCCTTGACCTTGACCTAGATCTCGATGGAGATTTTGATCTGGAACGAGATTTGGATCTCGATTTTGACGGCGAATAGCGTTTCTTTCGATAGCTGTCCCTTGAACGGCTCCTGTTGCGTGATTTAGATCTGGATCTCGATTTGGACACACTGCTCGAGGATGAGCTCCTCGACTTCTTCAAACGCGAACGAGATCTGGACCTAGTCTTCGATCGAGAAATTGAACGCGATCGAGATCTACTGATACTTTTGCAGCGCGAGCGTGACTTGCTTCGCGTTCGTGATCGTCTAGAATGACTTCTTGTTCGTGATCTTGTGTACTTTCGAGCTCTTGAACGCGTGCCTCTAGATCTAAAATAAAAGAATGAATATTGAAAACATATAACAGATTATAAAACATTTATTTAATTTTTTTCCATATGTTAATTTTCTTTTTCTCTTGCAACACTTACCTAGAACTTATTCGGGATCTACTTCGCTTTTTATCATGTGTTCTATAAGATTTAATCCTACTAATGGAGCGTGAACAACTTCTTGATCTAGATTTGGATATTTTCCTATTAATGGATCTCTCGTTAAAAGCAGGACTATCCGATCTTCGTCGTCTGAGATATGAATAATTGACTTTTCTCGAATTCGACGAAGACACATGTGATGTGCTACCATGAGTTTCTTCTTCCCCACCAAAGCTCGTGATATAAGTAATCTGTCCGGTATTTACAGGCGATGCGGATCGCGATCGCGACTTGGAAGAGGATTTTCTATAAGGATTGTACTCTGGACTCTCTCTAGCTGCATAACTAAAGAAAAAAACGATATAATATAATAATGTAAAATCTATTCGAGGAAATATAACAAATTATTACCTAGGAGGACTCATAACACGACCTATCATTTTTTTTTCTCTAAACGCACGCCGTTCTCTACGTGATCGTCGACCCTATTTAAAATAAAAATAGATATGCATCACAATAAAGTTTTTTTATATATCAGAATAATATTTTAAATATTAATTATATTTTTTATATATTATTATATTACTATAATACTTGAATTAATATAATCATTTAATGTAATCATTAATATAATCATTTACCGAATACATAGCTTTTTCCTCTTCCTGCTTTCGAGCTTGTCGCAAGGTTTCAGCTTCTTCAAAGTCTTGTGTTAAAAAGCTAAAATAATCAGCACCTAAAAGTCCATATTTTTGAGCTACCAGATTCATTTCATGTGCCTGAGATGGTTCTATCTGAGATACGTCCACACATATATCTAATAAAAAATAATGTTATATTAAAAAAAAATTATTCCTTTCTTCTAATATTGATTGTAAGTACATTAAATATTGTGTAAAATAAAATAATTGTACCTAAATCTATATCGCTATCTTCGTCATCTCCCTTTTCCTCTGATATTACTGGATCTCCCGATTTTACTGGCTCGGGTATCGGTTCTTCTGTTTCATAATTATACCCGATTGCAGCATTATTGGCAGATTTTTTCTTATCCTTTGCAGCATCCACTTTTGTGGATGAACCAAATTGTTCTTCCACATGTATCTGATGAAGAAACTTTTCTTCAGTCACTAAACAGAAAGATATTTAGATAAAAACATGAAAAAAATTATCAAGCAATTTTGCAAAGGAAGACAAACAACGTACCACCCAGAAATTCATTTTGTACAATTATACGATAGCGTTCATAATTGATATGTCTATCTTCACTTGTCAGAGCAATATCAACATCAATAGTATCCGGTGCCTCTGGTATCCAATCTAGGTGTGCTCGTACATCGAAACGATCTATGAGATTGTCATCATTGTTCTGCCATGGCATCCTACCAATAAAATGAACTTTTCTCATTTAAATCTATTATACTAGTGCTTGATTATTGCAACACTCACATGTTTGCGGGACTAGCACCTGCGGCAGCTATTGCCGGATCCAAATATATCTTGCATGGTCTGCCGTGTAGTTGGAGAAATTGCGTAGGATCAGACTTCTAAACGAAGCATAAAAGTATTCAATTACAATACAGTAATTCTGAGCCTTCCAATAGCTTTCCTTGTTAATTCAATTTTACAACATAAAAAAACAAAAGTAAGGAAATCCAGGACGTGTAAAAAAAAAATTTTGACAGACTCTTATTATATTAAAAATTAATATATATAAAGTGGAGAGATATTTTCGGAGAAATAACTTAATACGCTGATTTTTTTTTTTTTTTACTATGTAAATTATATAAGGCAACTTGTTAGACGCGGAAAGTGTACATCTTTCGCGATCTTACAATTTTCTCATAGTAGTCCCGTCTACGTTCCGCTCTACGACGATAATCGACCAGCATGCCACGAATCTTCTTTTCCTGCTTGCGTGCCTCATGCCACATTCTGCCGCCGGTCTTCTTCACGGAGAAGCTCATTTTCACCAGGAGGATTAATTTCGCGCGGCTAGCTTGACGTGGATGCCATTCGATCGCCTGTGCTCGCCAAAAAATTGAAGCACTAATAATTGACACGCTTTCTTATCCCACGAGATGGACATATTGCCCTCCAGAAGACTAGTGACCTCTCTCGACGTCGACTGGAACCGTTGCATTTGTACCCTCAGACCACTGGCGGATTATTTTGAAAATGTGGCGATCAATATTAAATTATTTCGTTATACATATATATAATTTAATTTACAAATTTATTATATATATATTATTATGCGTAATAATAAGATTACAGCAATTTGATATTTATTATTCTTATATATTCTTGTAATTATCTAAGTAATTATCTAAGAAAATAGCTAGAAAATCACTAGATAAAGTTACATCAATATAAATGAAGATTTCTTTACCTTTTACTTCAGGTTGGATCATCAAAGTGCACATAATCTCTCTCATCATTATTTGAAATAAGAGAAGAGCATGTATTTCATGCTTTTCAAATTCTTCTTCGAGATAACATTCAACGAGTTTAATTACATTGTAAACACATATTGAATATATTTCAAAATACCCACTTTTATATATCAATATTTTTAATTGCGAGCAACAAATATTTGTGGATCGAGTATGAAATATCAGCGGAAGAAAAAGGTAACAACAAAAGGTGAAGATGGTTTTGTTTATTATTAACCTTATGTAATATCGTTTCAAATTTTCAATTACATTATTATATATATAATAATAATTATAATAATCATCATAATAATGTTATGACAATGTATACACGTTAGATACAAGTTTCATTTTCCTTCATCCGGTATAGAGTTTTTGTTAATTATTTTTTTTTTTCATCTTAATAAATCGGTTTTTTGTTTCCCCCTTTCTCTCTCTCTCTTTCTCACGCACACACATACAAACGTACATACGTATCCACATGTACACATTTTCCTCTCGCTCTTTGCGTTCATTTCTTATATTCTTTTTTTGTCCCGCTTGTGGTGCATGCCATTGCGCCAAACGAGACATCATCAAAACATCACATTACTTCTCTCTCTCTCTCTCTCGCATACTTAATTCTCAAAGGACGCTCGCATATCGCCTCTCAGGCGCATCAGTCATATTATAGTTATATTTGTTTCTGAACACAATGCTTTTACACATGACGTTAGGAAACTTAAGTTACTTTATTTCCCCGCCGCGACACATGTTCCAGTGATTCCGGAATTAAGATTCGCGAGCGCGAGCTTCATAAACGGACTTTTACAAAGACCGCTTGTACAAACACGCATATACACATACACACACACACACATATATATATATTGCATTAGATATATTAGATAAATATGAAATTTTACGTCAAATCATAAAATTGTCAAAAAAAAAAAAAAAAAATGCAAACAAAAGAATCATCATAGGTGTAGACATTAATAAACGATAATTGACGAATATGTTATGTAACGAATGATACGATCGAAAATTAAAAAAACAAACCAGTTGCCTGATTCATTCGTTGGAATTATAAAAAAATTATTTAATATAATACTGGCTGCGTTCAAAAATCATGGTCAGTTATCTACAATCAGCTGTTGTACCGCAATTTCGAACGTACCTTGTAGTATATATGAGTAGAGAAGTTAAAATAAAAAAAAATAAATAAATAAATCTGTATAATTATTTGAAAAAATACAGGCACATGTATAACGTGTGCACATGTATAAGAGATATATTTTTTTATGTTTATAATTTTCAAATTACAATTGACGAATGCGAAGAAAGACGAGATTTGAAAAAGTTACATTTGAACGGCAAATAATGAAGAAAATCCGTCGAAAAGTTGCATTATAAACACTAAAAAAATATATAATATGAATAATTAACACTACAGTAAATACAAAAGTATGTATCGCATACACATTTATCTGCGGACCAAGATACATATAATTAAAACATAATTTTTCGACATATACCATTTTTTCTTTCATCATCATTCTGATCTTAAGAGTTTCTCCTACATGAAAAACAATATATACATAGTATATGTGTATAACTTGAAATACAGCGAAATAAATCACTGGAACATGAATCGCGGCTAGCTCTTACGTTATTAAATGTATACATCTCTGCTGTCTGCTAATTGGCTTAAATACTTTGCATTTTTGCGACAGTTGTTGAGTGAACAAATTCCAAGAGACGGTGATTCTCGAAAATGAAGACGCGCATACATCGGAAAAAGCGAAAGGAATCTTAAGGGAAGTTCTTTTTTCGTTCTGCTCATCGCGGGTCCTCTCTTTTCCATATTGGGAGACTACTAAACATACGTTTAAAACGCATTTCGTCGCGTTTACGTGGCAAATAAAGATCCTCTTATTATTCGCACAGCCACGTTCGGCACGCTCGTTTACGCTTTCAATATTTTACAGATCTCTCTAGCTTGCTTTCATTCGAATGCTCCATCTCCGAATGTCGTACCTATCGTGGCCTTTCTCTTCGCGCACTATGCGAAAAAAAAAATTGTCCCTAAATTTATCCGTCCGAATGACGGCGGTCGTTAAATCGCGCTAGGTTTCGCATCATTATATCTAATCGATCACTTTGTTTCTCTATACAGGTGTTTAAAGAAAAAGAAAAACAATAATTATTTTCAATTAAAATCAACAATTGTCCAAAGCACACAAGAGCTATGAATTTTTTACTAAACGTGACGCTGTGCCCAGGAGCCCATCGTGGAAATTGTGCATGTTCTCTTGATATTGGCTGAAGAAAAAGAGACCAGCATCGAGCGATATATCGCCCTTGTGTGTATACGAATCATCCGACATGGAAGGATTATCTTAGATGTGGATACCTTGTCACGAAACAAAGTCACCGACGAACGAGATTCAAGAGAGATATCTCTCTTTTTCTATTTCTGGACGATAAAAAATAGTTCTGTATAGCTTGGAAAATACGATCGCGATTCGATTCTCTGCGCGAATAATGTTATGAACACCATGTTTGTTTTTGGAACTGGTGAGCACAGCGTTAAGTTTGTAACAATCGGAATTCGGAAGAAGGCTCGTGCGTTGTGATATCTTACACGCGACATTATCTATATCTTATAGAGCGTACTGATTTTTGCCGTTCAACAGGATATTCTTTCGCGAGGAACGCTTAAAACTTGTCACAGAAAATTCCGAACGTTCCGCCCGTTTAATTTCGCTCTCTTTCTCTTTCTCTCTTTCTCTCTCGCTCACTCTCACTCTCACTCTCTCTCTTTCTCTCCACATTCTAATAAATTATATTATCCTGTACAACTTTTTTTTTCCAACTGCTGAAATTATTAAAAAAGATCATTGAGGTAAGGTGCGCGACATATTCTGTTTAAAGTTTTGGATAATTTTTGTGGAGTTTTTTTTTCTCTTTTTTTAAGTATATTTATTATGTCACAGTGAATCTCTCTATTCTTTTTTTTTTAAGCATTGCTTTCGAGCTATCTAATCACAACACAGATTCATTACGACTCTTTGAATTTTTTAACGTATCTTAAGCACTGATTGCCGTAAATCTGGATGCATTATAAAAACATTTATGATACAGGTTTTAGGGCGTATCGTATTTTCTATTTATCCGTTGGAGATTTACATTATTACTGTTAGAAAATTTGTTTTCGCTCGGTAACTTAGTATAAATTCGAGTATAACAAACCTCAACATCTGAGTTGCAATATAGAACGTTTCGCGCGCGTGTGAAATCTTGTTCAAACGTATCCGCAAATGTTTCTGTGTTGCAGGTGTATAAAAATATACAAATCATTCGAAAGGCCGCATGAAGAAAATGATTCTTAGCAGATCGAATGGCTTGTGAAACGTTAGACTTCTCAGCTCTACTCGAAAAAGTATTTTATATTTCTCTCATATATATATTTACAACTAATACAACAAGAAAAATTCAAATCTAAACTTCACAGTGAGACTCTCATTATTACTTGTCCAGAAAATACATTGTAAGAATCCTCTTGGTCGTCTAATACCTTTTTCTTTTTTTTTTCTTTTTTTTTTAGCCAAGCTCTTTTGACAACAGTCGCGGTCATGCAGACGAAATACGGTGCTTATAGCCGCCGCTATCTACGCGTTAAAATTTGTGTACAAAAAAAGAAAAATATAGCAATTAAAACGTTAAAGATGACGGATTAGGAATTATACATGCAGCTTTATTTTTACGAGACCTCTCATAAAGCAATTAAAATTAGATCTAGAATGTCCTAAAGTAGCTACACAGTAAATCGATACGATCCGTCAACAAAATGATTCCGCGTTTATCTTATATATAATATAATAAATAGCATACAGATAAATTATTATCTAAATCTTAGGTCTCCGTGGAGCATTCTTTTTTTCTTTCGTATATGTATGGAAGTATAAAAAGCCGCAATTATATAAAATATATTTCGTAAACAGATTTAAGTATTTCCACATTTTTTTTTGCTATCGTGATTACGAAAAAAGCAACATGCATAATTCTTTAAGATTTCTTTCTCTTTACAGCGTATATTATTATAGTTTCTATTAAAAGTGTCGTATTTTTTTATTCTCTTCTTTTTCTTTCATAACTTATCTGGGCTGTGTAGAGGAATTTATTACGGTTGCATTTTAATGGTCTGCCTTCAGGTACTAATACTACACTTTTACAATTGGTAGTTTCACAACGAAATGTACGATTGCGCGTTGACAATAAGAAAGAAATTATTGGCTTCTATCTTTTTGTTCGTCATCTAGTTTTACAATATGTCAATAATCGAAAGGGATCACATTTAATTGATTAAAAACCATTTCATGGCCGAATAAAAATCAAATCTTGTGTACAAAGAGGCTAATATAATGATCGATGCGAATGGCATAAGCGACCATCGGAGCAAAACGGCAAAAATCAATGACGATTGGCGTTGGAAACGTATGCATGTGAGAGTATACGCGCGTATTGTTTATTATAAAGTATCTAGATTTCTCATATGATTATATTCCATTCTTGATCGATCTTACGTGTATGCTGTTTTTTAACTTTCTTATTACTGTTTTTTTTTTATGTATAAATATGTATTGTTGTTAAGCCGCGCGAACCCCGTTTGTTTAAAGTCCTTGCTCAACAACAAACTGACGTTCGCAACTTGCATCCTTGTATTTTCATTAAAGTAAATAAAATGATTGAGTTTACATTGTCTTGTGTACGTGTGTGTATGTATATGTATGTGTAGGTATGGATGGGTGGATAAGTGAATGTATGTGTTACCTCTTCACACTTAAAAGCTAAATCCTAAAGCTGCACTCTTATCATTCATTCTAAGTGTATTGTACAAATAACTAGTCAACGCGACTGTTTGCTCGCAAGTACTTGCTAAACTGTTTACATCCGTGACATCGTGTATAAAACTCTATTGGAGTACATGCTTACATTGGTAATTCTTACTTTTCCTTCTTTTTTTTCTTTTACACAGTAATAATAGTAATTATCACTTTTTCGCTCTCTAGGCCACACAGTTTGATTGCCGAAAGTTTTCCCGCTCAGAGTTGTTTTCTCTAAAAACTGCTCAGAGTGTTCGTGGAAATCGGGCAGGACCCGAGAGGCCAGCTGGGTTCATCCTCACTAGACCATTACCACCTGTCCGTGCTCGAAGCTTTCGTCAATCATCCGTGTTAGACATGTAATAATATCCACGCTCAATGTGTAGGGCCAGTCAGCTCGATAAAAGATACGAAAATACAGCAACGTAACAGAAATAGAGGTTTACCTCTCCCATATTTTCCCTTTTCCTTTCTTTTCCTCGCATGTTCTCGTTTTCTATCCATTGGTTTTTTTCACACAGTCGTTATCGCCGCCAAGCTTATAGTAAACATCTCCGCTTCTGTGATCTCTTAATCTCAGAGAGAGATTTGAGCTTTGTGACTTGCGTTTGTCTCGTGGATTTTTTCGGGGAAATTTTTCGTTTGTATTTTTCAGAGAATTGTTCAGCCAAACCAACATGTGTCCGAAAAATTTGTTGAATTCTCACTGTCGAAGTTAATCGCTGATTGCGAACACTGATGTGCTTTTTTTTCTTTTTTTTGGCTCTATGCTTCGAGAAAGCAGCATCGGAGAATGACGTTTGAAAATGTTTACAAGCCATTTCCTTTTCCTCTTCTCTTGCCTCTTTCTTCGTCTACGACAATAACATAGCGTAGACGAACGTTCAAAGTATGCCACGATCTCTATCCGGTAATAAATCAGCTAAATCGTCTTCCTCTTCCACCAATCTTGCAAATTGCCTACAATCAGCTGTATTGTCCACTTCTACCACCTCAGTGAATAGCGACCGGGCTCTGTTGGACGCAGACACCGACCATCGGGCTATCTTCCCTCTCCGCTGGATCTCGCTGGTTACCGGTCGACACCGTCGATGGTTGTCTGACCATCCCATGCGCGTCGGCGGTCGAGTAGCCGTAGTTGTAGAAGTTCTGCTGCTGAATCATCGGCGAGGTCATCATCGCGGGCAGATGGGGTATATTAGGAAGAATTAGGCTATTGTACGATCCAAGGGAGCTCTGTATCAGGGAGCTGTCCATGGATTGCATGGACGTCGTCATCGGGGCTGACGCGGGCGCCCCGGCCGATGTCGATGGGTAGCCCGTTGTTATGGCACGCCGACCGCCCGTGTGACGAGGCGAGGACTCGCAGTCCATGGGTTGATAACCGCCACCAGGGAGACTCGACGCCTGCATCTGCTGCAGACTGCCGCCGCTGCTGCTGCTGCCGCTGCCACCCTGTCCCGACATGGTTACCAGTCCTGGGACATCGAGAAAGGAAAAAGTCAATTTGAGAGGTCGAGCATTAATTTTTCGATATATATATATATATATATATATATATATATATATATATTTATATACATATATATATTTATACACACTAAAATGCCATAATCATCCACGCAAATCGCTCTAGCTCTTACAATTGAATAATGACTAATGGGAATAAAGAGAAATAAAATCGTCAAACGTCTACAGGGACATGTTTGCAGGCAATAATCCACCGCTAATACCTTTCTTTTCACGCACATTCCTTTGGCGAAAATGACTTTCCGATCATGTGTTTCCTTCTTTAAATACTCATCGTACACTAAAATATTAAATTGCAAATACTACTCTCTTTAATACAATTTCTTCTTTCATCTTGTAAATTTATGCAGTTGATAAAAATTAATCAAATTTTACGTATAATTAATTACGATTTTAAATTTATTACGATCTTAACACCTACGATGCTTTCATTACAATTTATGTTTGCATTATATTTGTAGAATATATGCGCTTATAGAGTATGATTGAAATCATACAAAATCATTCAAATAATTATATCATATATTTTACAAGTTTTTAAGTTAATACGAAATTATCTGCCTGATTTGTTCGTTGTTTATATAATATTACGTAATCGCGATGCAGCGTAATCTTTTCTTAATTATGTACGTAATAGTTAATGTGCAATTGGGGCATAACATTAGCGTAAACTTAAGAAGAGGGATGTATGATAAATGCATATATATATATGTATAAGTATATATTACTGACGGACAAGACTTATTTCACAGAAACGTTACTATTTCATGTCCCATTTACAGCATTGCACTTGATAAAGTGCACAATGTAAGCAGCTAAAGCATGCATAAAAAAACTAGAAGACAATGATGTGACTTTTCTACAAAACAGAAATTCGCAATTAACACAGAGATGCAATACTTTTAGTTGGAATATGTTCTGCAATCGTGATAAAATGCAATCTATCTCCGACAACATTCATATACAACGATCATTAGTTGCTTTCAATCATCGATGAAAGCAAAATGATGAAAAAAAAAGAAACATATTCCAGCAGTCTCACACGACGTTCTTTATCCTTTTATTTTTTTTTTGTCCTTATATGTTCTAAGATATTGTCATCAAAAAGGACAGTCTTATATAATAACGAATGATCGACCTCGAAAATGGGCACTATATAAGTTATATTAAATACATTAATGTTAATAAAATTAAAGAAGACACGGGCTATAGAGCAATGTCAATCCGTGTCTGTCAGACGGAATATATCTTTTCAAGCAAGCAAAGGCTTCGCGCAATACATCCGAGGCCAGGATATGATTATTAGGGATATCGTTAATCTTTCAGCATGTGTCTGTATATGTATTATGTGTGTGCGTGTGTGTGTGTATAGGATTGTTTGTTAGATAGAACTTACTTATGTTAGTAAGTAAGATTAGGGTTGGGGCCTAGGACAGGTCGTCGCCGCCCCGCGGATACGACAGTCATCGAGCCACGTATTGTCCCCCCATCATATCTACGGGCAACAACAAGTATCGTTTAGTTTGCGCAGAAAATAAAAAAATGTATTATTAAAAGAAAAAGAGGGGGAAAATCGAGGGAAGAATCAATTGCGAAATTGTATGTATCTTACGAAATTATCGTCGTTCATTCATACGTTGTCGTTGACATTGCCTAATATATTAAGTAATTATTTGATTAATTAGGTTCTGGTTTTTATAGAGAATAGCTAAAAAATATCTCATTTCATATTATGTAATATATAGGACAGATAATATTATATTAATTAATATAATGGTGGAGAATTTATTTTCTGCACAAATTAAAACCTTCCTAAACTCTCAATATAAATACAACTGTCCGTCCTGAATTTCTATTTATATCTACCTTGTGCTTAATTATTCAGAAATGGTCAATAACAGCTCAGAGGTATCGTTAGCCACAATCAAACGTTTCTGTCTTTTAAATCGTTTGCAAGAACGGTGGAAATTCCTGTAAGCAACTGTCAAAAGACTTTATTGCAGCCTGAACAGAATATGTGATTGCAGTTAGATATTTCTTTCTTTCTTTAGATATCTGCCTCTTTTTAGATATATTATTTTTATATGTATATTTTGTACAAAATTATCTATCGATAAAAAATGGGCAGTAACAATTGTAAATTTTCTTTCTGTATCGGCGTTCACATTTGTTGAAAAGGCCGATTCAGAAAAAATTACGGATTAAATATATCATCAGGCAATCAAGTATGATATTAATAATGAATGATGAATGAAATCAAGCGACATAGAGCCATACTTTGATAGTAAGATTATGTTTCTCGCTGCAATTAATCGTTTAACGTACAGTTATTGTGACAGAATGCAAATCTGACATGTTTTCAACTTTAATACATTTAGAAGTAGTCTGCGCTTGATTTAAGATATCATACGCGGAATGAGCAAGAGAAACGCGATATAATAATGTTGAAAACCTGCCAGAGTTTCGAAGAAACTCAGATGTGAAGCACACAAATGCGTAATTCGGATTACTTCTCTCCTCTATGTTACACAATGATTCGGCGAAATCGACCGATATCGCGCGATGGTCAACGACTCACCGTGATCCTGGCTCATCGACACCACTGCCGGACTCGTGCTCGCGCTATTGGCAGCAGCGACATTCGTGTTGGTCCCCTCATCGGCCGTCCTCTTAAAGAAGTTGTGTTGGAGCGCATAATACGGCGTTACCCTCGTCTTCGGATCGAAATCCAACATCCGTACGATTAGGTCTTTGAACTTGAGATAATCGGACATCGAGTGACCCGGTTCTCCTATCCTCCTGCCGCCGGGGCCGCCGCTCTCAACACCTAGAATATCGTGTAAGCGCCTCGTGCCAGGAGGTTTGTATTTTTTACCATCCTTGGATTTTTTCAGCACATACGAGCCATCCGTGGGGACTTTGTCAAAGTACTTCCGCGCCTTGTGCGCTTGGTCCAATATATGTTTCGGCGGCATTCCTAGTACTTCTACAATTTTGTTCATTTGATCGACCTGCAAATTACGCGAAAAATCTTCTTTAAACAGAGATTTACTTTGATACAACAATATATGTGCATTCATCAAGCAAATTCATATTTGTCATATGTTCTTAACATAGTCATAAACTCCGATAGCATCTCGTGCTATTAATAAAAATTATCGAGAGCTATGGACTTGATTAAAGAGAACAATACACAACGATCAGGTTATTTTATTACCTCATTGGCCCCACTAAATAAAGGTTCTCCCGTGTGCATTTCTACTAAAATACATCCCAGACTCCACATGTCTATCGCGAGGTCATAAGGTATTCCTAATAGAACTTCTGGTGATCTGTAGAACCTGGACTGAATATACTGATATATCTACAAACATGGAAAAAAGAAGAAGCAAGTGAGACATGGATCGAAGAGCGACTCGAAGAGCCCGCGCGGGATAATTAACATCTTATGAGATACCCACTCTTTGTCCAAGTTGACATGAACTACCAAAGTCGACTATCTTTATCGCACTTCGTTTGGGATTGCATAAAAGGATGTTTTCGGGTTTCAGATCACAGTGAATGATGTTCAATTCCGGTGTAGACAGGAACAAGAGGGCAGTACACAGTTGCTGTGCAAACTTTCTTGTCAGATTTAATGACACTCCTCGGAAATTCGTATTTCTAAGTAGGTCATACAGATTATACGACAGCAGCTCGAACACCAGACATAAGTGATTTCGCCACATAAAATGCCTCTTTAGTTTAACTGTAATCAAAAGAAGAAGGAGATGAAAAATTAGCATCACGCGTAAATATATCATTCTTACACAAGTAAACGTACCTATATAATACTTGTTGTCGGTATCCGCTCTGTTCATCATTTCCAATAGCCTAACTTCAATTTGCGCTTGATTTAGAAAAGGCTTCTTGTTCTTGATGATTTTTATTGCCACTTGCGTCTGCTCTTCGTGATCAAACGCTTTCACTACTTGGCCAAAACTGCCTTTACCTGCAAACAGAAAACATGTAAAAAAACTATGCAGGATAAACGATTGAAATATCTTTTGCAACCATCACAAATTAAGAAAGTCTTGTAAAAGATATTGTACGAAATCTACGAGAAACAATTATTTATATCATTGGAAAATATCTCATATCAATTCACACGATACAACAATTATTCCGATATTTCTTGCGCAATAACTTATGCTACTTTTTTAATTTTTTTTTCTCTTACCTATTAATGAATCGATCTCGTATCGATCGAGGAACTTTTCCCCATTCTTGATAATATAATCGTGATTATCGTCGTCCCAGCCATCGTTGTAGAGTTTCCTCTCTTTTTTATGTGAGCCATCCTCTCCTTGCATCTGCTGTGCCCTCCTTTTCTTCTTCGCATAGTAAACCTGGAAAAGAAGTGGATATAAGCAATCGTTGCGATATTTCTCATGTATAAAGGTCAAAATTCGTTAAAATTCACACGCAAAGATATTGAAACGAAAATATTATTACAATATATAAACTAAATAATTTTATAAATATAACAGTCTTGTATTTTATATATTATTATGTACAATATTTGTCTATATATTTTTCCTTGTTTTCGATTTACCGGATTTTTTCGCATTATTTATTATTAAACCGCGTTTTATAGATCCTAAAATTGGATCATAGTCCTTTTATCAGGTCGCAATTCGTGTAATTATCACGTTTATTGATAATGAACGATATTGATAATGAAAATTCAAACAATTGATCGGTTGAAAAGTTCGTTTATAATAACTCATCAGTTCAAAAGTTCGTTTATAATAACTCATCAGTTCAAAAGTTCGTTTATAATAACTCATCAGATCAAGTCTAATGGAATTATACATAACAAAGTACATCCCAAAGTTATATATTCGCACAGGTAGAACTTAGGTCCATGACGTTCCGCGAAAACGAGGAGAGAACGCGCGTCCGATCGATCGCTTATATTTTTCACGACGTATATAAATCCGCGGTTATGCCGCCTTATTCGCCTGTAAAGTACGCCCTAGTCAAAATGCCGTCACGATTATCCGCCCCTCTCTCTCTCTCTCTCTCTCTCTCTCTCTCTCTCTCTCTCTCTCTCTCTCTCTCTCTCCATCTCTCTCCTCCGTCTCTCGCTCTCCTAAAAAGCGTCATATTCGCCATAAATATCCCTCGTCTACGAGGAAGGTGGAAGGACGGCGCGCGACGAGAGGGTGGAAGGCGCAGAGCGGGGGCGGACGGGAAGGGAAGCGAAAGGGAAAAGGGCGCAGAATCCGATCTGCCGCCTCGTCCGGGAATCGATATGCTCGCGACCACGTGAAAACCATGCCGTTCGAAAGCGCCGTCGGCTGTGCGACTCGAAGAGTCCGTCGACGACGACGACGACATATTCCCGGACTCGTGTTCGGTCGGTCGTGCCGTGCGAAATTTTCGGAAGAAAGCCGGGGATGAGGAAGAGAGGAATCGACAGGCGGCAGGAGGTAGGGGGCGAGAAGGCTCCTCGCGGATCGGGCAGGATCGAGGTGGTTGTTCCACTGCTGGCACGCCTCTACCACCCAGGTCATCGACACGGTGATGGTCAGCGCTGTATCGGCGTCTAGTTACTCTATTTCGGCATCGATTGTGTGTACCGTCGAAGAAGTATACGAGGGGTACTCGGTGCCGCCACCGCCATCGCCACCACCCACCAGCCCCCTGCCACCCACCCCCACCCCCGCCCCTGCCGCCCACCGCCACCGCCGCCACCGACGCCGCCGCTGCCGCGGCGCGGCTAATGAACTCTCGATGCCGGGGCTCTCTTCCACACTCCCCGGAAGCGAATCGCCCCGACGACGGAGCGCTTATTTTTGACTTCGACTGCGTGTCAGCTCAATTTATAAAAGGAAGACCGGCTCTTCTTCGTTGTTGCTCGTGCAAAACGGAAGAAACGCGCTAATTTCCATGTCTCGTTGATGCGACAGAAAGTTTCGCAAGAACGTAAAAACTGTCGCTACTGATGAATGCAAAGAAAGCTATTATCATGTGCGATAAATCGACAGAAGTTTTCGTAAAAAATTGTCAAGACTTTGACAGTTATTTATTATTTTTGACAATTCATTCGAAAATTCTTTAAAACCCCCCTCAAAAATTCAAAAATAAAATCTTTGTATATAAATGTGTTATTTTAATTAATTAAATATATCGAGGAGTCGTATATTTTTTGAAATAATATCACAATTTTGAAATAATATCAGTTGAATTCTTTTTATTCAGGAAGAATAAACGTTTCTTAAGTAAATGTTTCTCAAGAAATCATATTTCTTATGATTCATTAAATTTTTCGAGAAAAAAATATACAGTAAAAATTAATATTACTTTCATCATTTTCAAAAATTCAAGAAAATGCTTACTATATTTGTCATTAATTCACGATTGTTTAAAATATAATTTCCAAGTTGTTTTAATTTATATTTAGCGAGGTCCACTTTCTTTGACAGGTGAAAACAGTCTCTTTCACAGGATTTCCAAATAAGATTTTTTTACCCTAGATTTGTACACTAGAGTTTAAGAATTAAAGCATTTAAAATATCGCATCTGAACAAATGGCATATCGTTTTTTTTTTATTTTAATTTATAGGTTCTGTTCGGGGGATGAGATCGGAAATCCATGCGGGATCAGATGATCAACTACCTTCCTACGTGAAAGTTTTCGCGAGCGAAACATTCGTATATGTTTGCACTGAGAAAAAACAACTTGTTAACTTAACCAAACCGTTTATTAAATTATTATTTTTTAAATTGAAATATTTAAATATCTAAGTTAAATGATGTCATGTTAGATTTAATATGTATTATTTAATTTAAATAGTTATAATAGTTATTTTAAATTTAAATAGTTATTATTAAATTATTATTATTATTAAATAGTTATTATTTAAATTATTATTATTATTAAATAGTTAAATATTTTAATTAAAAGAGTAATAATTTAGTTAAATAGTTCAGTGAAGTTAACAATCTTTTTTCTCAGGATGGCAATCCATGAAACGCCAGGTTAACATTTTCATTAATCGTAGGCGCGACTCTTCTAAGGAGCGTGACCTCATTTCGCGTAATATGGGTTAGTCGCGCGGAATCGGAAATTTAATTCTCGCGCACGAACTTTTCTATTCTCGTCGCATTTTCAAAACAGGATTTTTCGATTCAACTTTTTTCACCCGCTGCCGGGAAGTAGTCCAAACCCGATCCGAGGGAGGAAAGGGATTTATCGCTCGCGATAACACGAAAGTCACGTGACGCTTGATCTACCGCGGAGGACAGGTAAAAAACTTGCATATTAATTCATATCTTAATTTCGGAAAGATAATCCAAGCGAAAATCGAGTTTCGCAATTCCATACAAGTATTTTCCATATTTTTCCAGACGGGAGACACCTTGGACTTATTGTCACTCGAGATTAGATACCATGGCTCCGGGCACGTGTCAATCAAATCGATCACTATCCGTCGATTAGGTTTCGTTCGTACGTAGATAACGCGAAGACAGAGAGATAAGCAGGTTTAAAAATTTGTCGAACCAAGCCTATAGATTCATGGTCATCTCTTCTCCCGTTATCTTCCACCGAGCCTGTTATCATCGCGAGCAAAATCATCGAGGGACGCTCAACCAAACTGCTGACAATCTATCCTTCCTCCAGTCACTGAAGGATTGCTATCGTTTGTTCTTTTTCGCTTCAAGTGTGATGGCTCTCTTTCTCTCTCTTTTTCTTTCTCTTTCTAGCTTAACTATAACGATCTGATGCTGTAGCGAGAAAGAACGTATGATCAGGGACGGATACCTCTATAGAATACCGAAAAATTATCTGCACGAAGCATGTTAATTCAAAACATTTAATATGCAAGAAGATAAAAATGTAAAACACACATACATGATATTATATAATATTATAAATTAAGAAATTATAATTTTTTTTTAATTTTACAAAATCGAAGCGACCAATCAAATTTTTGTTAAAAAAAATCGACTTTGAGATAATCAAAGTATCTGTTAATCTTCTGGAATACGTGTAATTTTTTAACGACTTGCCTACAGACAATTAGTAAAGGCTCGTGATTGTGAAAAATAATTTTATGCAAGAATTTATATCATATTTTATTTATAATATTTATAGTAACATATATAATATATATAATATATTGTATGGAAAAAATAAAACAGAATAGACATAACATCATGAAAAAATAAACGAAGCATAAGGAATCGCATCATATTTTTTTTCTTAATGCAGAAAATATTTTTCTTAATGCAGAAAATATTTTATTTAAGTTTTATTACGTTTAATAATTAGATTATTCGATATTTCACAGATTCATATGTGTATCTCGATGTAATTGGTGTGCTTTCCTGTACATATTGAAAAAATATAGCTATCGTAATATGATATTAAAGCTAAAAAATGGGGGAAAAATAAGCCTTGTGCGATTGGCACCTCTAGTTTCTGCCTTCCTGTCTCTTTTCCTGTCTCGCGTCATCCTTCTTCGCGCATGGTCGTCCTCTCTCTCGTTTCTGTTGCTATGCGCGAGTGCACGAGACCGGCCCCATATGTGGTACGTTCATTAGCTTTACCGAAAGCAGCCCAGGACCCACTGATGAACGCCCAACGAGAGAAAAGGAGGAGGAGGAGGAGATGTCATCATTAAGGGGAAATCAATTCCGAATTACGAAATCTGTCATAAGAATTGACACAGTAAACAGAGCCCATATAAGGACATTTTATTGCTCTCCTCATGTGTGCGTCATTCTCGACCAATGGACTTGATTTGAGAGCGAATTAGAACGAAATCGTAAGAATTAAAATCGGAAAAATTATGCAAAAATTTTTAGAGTCGATCTCTGGAGGAAGGATAACGATTTTCTCCACGATCTTCTTCCTGAACGAATGATTAGTTTATTTCGAGGTCCGCTCGGCGCCGATGATTAGTGCGTTCTTCGCGTTTTACGAACGAATCTCGCTAAGTAGATTTTCGCGTCGCGAAATCTTAAAAGGTCCGTTGAAACAAAACGTCTTGAAAAATACGAAGTTGGATTAAATTATCTCGCAAGGATTCCACCGCTTGGGAGAAGTTAATTGCGACGTATATTAATGGCACGGATAATCCTTTGGTATCCTTTCGTTTTCTCAATAAAATTTATACTTGAAACATGAAGGTTGCGCAATGAATTTCAATAAAGTATTTATGTAAAGAAAGAAAAATAAGATTTTAACAGAAAGACTTAGAATTTTTTTAACAAGATTGAAACTATCTTATCAGCTAATGCAAAATTAATTGTAAGCAGAATATTACTTCGAAACTTCTCATTTTAAAAACAATTAAATTCTCAATGAAAATTATTTTAGAAAGATAGAATAATAAGA